TATACTTACAGAAATTAATTTGGATGTTTTGTCACTTTAGAAAAAATCTGGAGCTAAAATTCTAAAGGCGTGCAAGTGTCAATGATATGTATGTGATATAGTACACCATGGTATAGGTGTTCGTAGTAGTACAATTATAAAAAAATACAAAAATAGAGGTGGCACTCAATACACAACAAGGGAATAAAAGGACATTATAAATAAAACCATTTTTTCGGTTTTTTTCGCGGATTCATTTGGATGTTTGGTTCCCGACGTTTCGAATGCTTTACAGCAATCATGGTCACGGGAGAGACTGAGGTGTTACATGTCTCGAGGGTATAGTTGTTACAGACAGCCTACCCACAATTAACAAAATGAAAATTTCACCAATTACCTTACAATATTTTTTAACTTTAATTACATTTTTTAAATTTAAATACATTTTTATAATTTTAATTAATAGGAATATAATAATATAAAATAGGAAAAAAGGAATTGAGCAAGCACATAAGAGTGTGTGGAACGTAATAGATAACTCTCAATGTCTTTCATTAAAAGTAATGTTTACAGGATGCTTCACCAGGTAGCCTTTGTGTTATTTCACATAATAGTCTATATTATTCTGTGTACTATATTTCCTCTAAATCTGTTCAGCCGTTTCAGCGCAAAGAAGGACACACATAAACGCGCGTGCATGCGCACACACACACACACGCATGCACACACACACACACACGCACATACATACACGCAGGCGTATGCACATATACACACATACAAACGCGCGCGCGCGCACCCATAAAAACGTGCGTGCGTGTTTTCGACGACGACGACGTTTAAAACGACATTGATAAGCAACATAGATAACAACATATTCTGCTCTCATTTCATAAAGCGCAAATAGATTCCTACCAAATCATACATACTCCATTAGTCATGCTATAAAAATGATACCACGATCGTGTCAGTGATAAAAGGTCGCGATTGTCAGAAGGGACGGGTCGAGAAAGGTTGGATAGTAAATTTATCTATGTGACTCTCATTTAGTAGAAATATTACCCATACCTACGTACGTTTTCTATAAAACTATTCTTGGAATAGATAAGTTTCGCATTATATGTATTATTCTTAGTTAATTTCTTGTAGTAGGGGAGCTCAAGAGGGGAGTTTTGTATCGTATGTCGTATATAAACTTTATGTACAATTTTTGCCTCTTCGGCTAGTGGAAATCGGCAGATTATTGAATTACCCACTTTTCACGATTTAATTAGCCCACCATACCTTAATCTGATGATTTCAAGTATTTCTAACTTATCAAAATATTTTTGCAGCGGTCTTATATAGAGGGCTTATAGTTGGTGGAGGTACTCAACAGAGTGCAAGGAATCCCCCTTTATGTACTCGTAAATCCGCCGCGCTTGAGTAAATGCAAAAATCCCCTCTTGGATTCCCCTACTATAGTGCTTATAGTAATAAGTCATACTAGTAACATCAGTCAACAAAAAAATTTCTTGTTCTAAATTTGTTGCCAATAACATTTTGTGCTTCTTATTTTAATAAAAGTGACATAATTTTATTACTTATTTTTGTTTAATATCTATTTGCAATAAAACGAGAAAATAGGCCATTTTTGCTTGTATTTAAAATATCGTTTAGTTTAACTGTTACTTTAAGTAAAATTAAGTATTATAATGCAAAGATGCATTATATTATATAGATATGTATTTGTGTATGTAGTAGTATGAACATATGTTATGGTATATAATATGTATAATGGTTTATTATATGTATATATAATATATATTTATTTAAGTATTTACATTTGAGTAACTGCACTTTAGCCTGCTTTTAATACTATCTCTCTAACTCACTTAGGTTGACTGGAAGAGATCTCTTCTAATAAGTCCACCTTTGCTAACTAATTTTATTGTTTGTTACTCTCTGTATTTCACATATAAGTGCAAAAAAGAATAGTATATATAAAGTATATAAACTTATATTTTATCAAAACCATATTTAACTGCTTAAGCCACAAATGCGGTTATAATCGGAATCCTATTAACTTGCAACCATTACGCTAAATATACATGAGCAAAATTAACCGCAGAATCCACTCACAGGTGTTTTTAGTACGAAGCTATGCAAGAATTCGAATGAAGTGTGTAGATATTTTATGTTAGAGAATTTTCGCATAAACGATTGTGGTCAAGGTGACCTCGTGGTCGCACAAAGGTGAGCGCGACCAAGAAAAGACCAATGGTCGCGACCTATTCAAGATAATATCAATATTCATGCAAGACATGAAAGAGCAGAAAAATACGAAAAAATCGCTTATTTGGATTGAAGCTACGAGTATCTAAGCAAGAATCGAAATAAAATAGGCACAATTCTTTAAGTCAAATCATTTCCATACATGGATTAAGACAAGTCGTGTCTAAGTTTAAATTCAGTATTAAATGGTTAACATAGCTTAGTGTAATATGTATTGCTCAAAAAATTCTAAATATTACTTTATATAAGGGTATATGGTATATTGTAATAAAATAACAATCTTTAGTTGAAGTATTTAAAAACAAAATTGCGGAATCGGTATTATGTACATTACAACAATGTATCGGCCGATGAAAATTTTATAAGGATAACATACTAACAGCATTTAACTACGTTTCAATAATTCGTTTTTTTTAATTATTCAATTCTGTTCAGTTTTATTCAGTTCAGTGTAAATGCAATTCAATTAATGGTTTCGAAACACTTACACTCAGATTATTTCGCCAATGTCATGTAATTTTTTTAATAATCAATATTGAAATATTTTTCCGTAGAGATACTGAGCTTGGCAGTGATAAAGACTAGTACTTGAGACACCTTAAGAAGTTAATAAAGAACGCAGCGGATGGAAGTAGGGTTTAGTGAGTGTCATGACTGGATGACCACAAGACCCTTAAACACACATAAGATGCTTAAATGGAACCCTTATAGAGTTAAGACGGAACTGTATGCCTTTTGGCTACAGAGCCCTAAAAGTTAGGTTTGAAGCAATATTTTCTAAAGAAAACGCAAAACAACGTTAGAAATACGTCTAAATACATCGGTAAAGTAATTAATCGGTTAAAATTGAACCATGAACGACAATGAAACAACAGCTGTATAGATCAGCGTTGCGATTCTTATTTATTCGTCGTTTCGATTTTAATTACTTCCGACTTGGTCGACACGGGCTCCCTCACGGCTTAGTGTGAATAAACAAAACATTTACATTTATAAGCCTAGGAAAATATGCTTTAACAGGTTTCGGGTAAGGAAGGGCAAGTAAGGTCGGACGATAAACCTATAAAATAAATGAAAAGCTACGACAAAAATGTCGAACAATAAGTGGCATATAAACAGTTTTTTTAAGTAAATATATTAATTAACTAGCATTGCCTGCGGCTCCGCTTGCGGTCAGACGACCAAAAACCAAATAAAATAGCGCTATTGTTTTTTTTTCAAGATAAGCGATTTTTAATAGGTGTTGCCTTATTTACTAAGTTTCCTTACTCAAATATATATAGTATCATCGTGGTTTTATTCTAAGCAGTTTTTGTATATATTTTTTTTCAAAAATGAGATATTTTCCTGAGATAAAAAGTATCCTATATGTTGACCCGGATAACCAGTTATGACAATACCAAATTTCATCAAAATCCCTCCAGTAGTTTTTTTGTGATGCGGTAACAGACAGACAGACAAAAATTCTAAAAACTATAGATTCGACATCTGTATCGATAATAATCTTTATTTCAATAAGATTTTCCAAAAAATATTTAATATACAGATTCGACTTAGAATTTTATTATATGTACAGATAATAACCAAATACTAAAATGTATCTTTATTGACATTCTACAAACGGTATCGCTACATAGTATAAGTGAATTAAGCATCTAAGCGTTAAAAAAATCTGTTTTGCTGTTGGTAAGAATATCTTACTGAGTAGCGAGTGAGATAGAAATAAAGTTAGAGTAAGAGATATTGCAGAGAATATCATTTAGAAATATTGTAGGGTGATTCTTTGTAACACGGTTTTGCTCTGTTTTTTACTGGAGAACATATTTAAATATTTTCCGATAAGAAAACAATTCATAGGTAACATGTAAAAAAACAACTTCTATCGAGGCCTTATATTTTTAATTGTAATTAATTTAATTAAACCTAGTTAAAGCTTACAGATAACATCAAAATCTAATGTATCTGGCGCGTCCGAATGCCATTTTTCTTTGTTCCAAGTTTGTTTTCAGCAAATAATCGTCGAAGGATTCAAAAATGTTTACACTCAGTCGATCTCTGAATATTTGATCGTTATTGTTTTTATAATTTGATCCGATATATTATTATATTCTTAAAGTTACAGGGCTTTACATTTTGTCCGCGGCTAAAATTATAATTTATCTGTACTGACATGTTTATACATATTATATAGTATAATATCTTAATATTCCGTTAAGTTACACCGAGAAGCGATTGCCCGTCTCAGTCAGCGCCGATGCGTCGAAGGAAGCACTCATATTGCTTCATTTTTGAGTGATAAATTACGATTTAAAATTGAAATCTGGACTTTGTAACGTGTCAAGGATAATTAATCTGCGCTCAATTATAATTATTTGCGTAAGTATAATGATTTTTTAATTTAATAATGATATATTATCAAGTTAAGTGACACTAATAATAATTATTTAATTCTTATTATATTTAAAGTAAAAACATAGTATTCGATTATGTTAAAATTTCTCATTCATCTGGTTCTAATTCGTCTGATTTTATCTGGCATTTTAATACCAGATGAATTTGAAAACGACAGATTAATTAGGTTTAACCCAAAAATATTATTGTAACTGAAGCAAACTTTGTGTCTTAAAAAGAGTGTAACTTTTAAAACTATAAAAAATATATTTCGTTAATATTTTACTTGTTTACTACAGGATTAATAGCGTCAACTAATCGATAAAATTATACACTTTTAGGTCTCTATTTTCAAAATGGCAAAATCAAAGAAGCAAACAAAAGAAGAAAGGCTGATGAAGAAGCGCCTTGCAGAGAGAAAAAGATACGAAATGATAAAAAATAATCCAGATTTATGGAAAGAAAAGCAAGAAAAAAATAGACAAGATTACTTACGTAGAAAGCAGGAAAAGAAACAATTACCTATAAACGAAATGACTCCTAGACAGCAAAGGTTACAGAGACAGACATGGAGGAAGAACTATCGTTCATATTATTTAAAAAAGAAGCGTGAAAAAAGAACAATAGCGCTGCTAGAAGAAAATACCCCACCACAAAGTCCTAGCATTTTGTCAGATACCGAACCTGTAGTTTTAGAACACTTGGCTCGTAGCCTTCCAGCAAGCCCATTCTTCAATAAAAGCTCGGAGTGTATGATGTCCGGACCGTCTATAACTTTGCGTAGCATATCTACACAGTGCAATGATTTTAAAACGAGTACACCATCTAATACTAAATCTCTGTCTTCCTCATCTGTTACTTCTGCCATAAGACGTAACCGTTACCAAAAAGATAAAGTAATAAATGTTCTTAAGAAAAAGTTAATAAGCCTAACGCAACAAAATGAACGTTATAGAAAACAACTTAAAAGAATGGCTTCAAAAAGAGTTCAAAATCAAATCATTAAAGTAAAATCCATTGTACCAAATACAAAACAAAATTGTAATTTCGAACCTTTGCCTAATCTTCTAAAACAAGAAGTCCGTATATTCTATGAGTCCGACGAAAATAGCCGTCTATGCTCAGGAAAGAAGGAGTTTATTGTAAGGAAAAAAATACGAAAGCAAAAGCGGTACCTCAGCGACAATCTTTTAAATTTGCATAAGAAATTTTTGAAATCTTCAAATTTTACCATTAGCTATTCAACATTCTGCAAGCTAAGACCATTTTGGGTTTTGCTACCTGATTTTCGATCACGTGACACTTGCTTATGCAAATTACATACTAATATGGATTTAATCATCAAAGGATTGTATCAGAGGAAGATAATACCCGTTATGACCTCCCAAAATCTTCTTTCAATGTTATGTTGCGACATGTATAGCGTGGACTGCTTGCATCGCAATTGTTTAGCATGCAAAAATAAAGTAGTTTGCTATCAGGAGTTTGATAATTCTATTGAAATGACATATTGGCAGTGGGACACGAAACAAGATGTAACAAAATGTAAGGGAAGGAAAATTAGAATTACTGAAAAAGTAAAGAAGACCGAAGAACCGAAAAAATGTATTGAAAAATTTGAATCAATGTTGAAAGAGTATTTAATGCATTGTGGTAATATAGTTTCTCAATATAATGCTTTCAGAAACTTGAAAGAAAGTCTAAGTGATGGTGAATGTATAATTCACATTGATTACAGCGAAAATTATGCAGTCAAGAGTTATCAAGAAATTCAGTCCTATCATTTTGGTGGTAGCCGTAAACAATTAACATTGCATACTTCAGTAATATACTTTCTAGATGCTGAAAATATACCTCAAATACAATCATTTTGTACGGTGAGTGAATGCCTGCGCCATGATATATCAGCCGTATGGGCTCACATAATACCAATCCTTGACTATATAAGTGAAATAAGGGCAGGCATTCACACTTTACATTTCATTTCTGATTCACCATCCAGTCAATATCGTAATAAAAAAATATTTCATATGATTTCTAGCTTACACATATACCTTAACTCTGTCGATACCATTACGTGGAATTACAGCGAATCTGGACATGGAAAGGGTGCTCCAGATGGCGTGGGTGCCGTGATAAAGAGAACTGCCGATCGTGCTGTGTCTCAGGGTCAGGACATAAAGGATCTGGATGATTTTTTAACTGTTATGAATCAAAATTTAAAAAAGATTAAATTAAAAACTATTTCGGAATATGACGTATTTGAAAAAGACTTACTGTTCCCACAAAATATAAAAGCCTTTCCTGGATGCATGAAAATGCACCAGATAGTTTGGAAATTAAATTTTCCTATGATGGCTGTTCGAAAACTTAGTTGTACGGATAAGGCTTGTTTGTACGAAGTAATCAGCTGCAATCATAAGAAACACATTGGATTTTATCACTTAGAAGAGGTATATCAGGAAAGAATAACAGTTACACCCTTGGCTGACTCGAAAAGGCAATTAAGAGAAATACCTAAATCATTTTGGTCAGTAAATAATGAATCAAATGGAAATGATGGCGTAACTGGGATAGGAGATCTTGTACAAACTATCACTAATAGAACTACATGTAAAACAAACAATAACCTTAATACGCGAAGTGCTAACCAAAATAATAAAAGAAAAGTAGACAAACTAAATGAAAGAAAAGATCTCGATAGAAGTGGAAGGACTGATAGAGTAGAACAGATTATGCTATTGGCAGGATCTTCAAACATCGATAACATTTCAGAGATAACTTTTTCAAGAGACGGCGATAAAGATTTTACTATAGATTTAGAAAATATTAATCCATATTTAATGGATGACGATGAGGAATTTAATATCTTCTAGCATTTACTAATTAATTGTTTTCTAATTTTTCTTTATATTTTTTAATGCTAAACGATTTTATTAAGTAAGATTAAGTGTTTGGCGATCTCGTAATTGAAGTTCCTTTAATAATTAAGGCTGACATAGATTTATATATTATATAGATTGATATATTTTAGATAGGTTACTACAATTTTTATTTTTAAAATTTAGATATTTGTATGAATAAGAACTTCTATTTGCGTTGATAGTATGACGAAATTGGTTAAAAATATTAGGATTAAATATTAATTATATTATATTGTTATTTTTTATTTGCAATGTGTCAAAGTATTTTGTTTTGTTTATAACAAATTTTGTTAATTTTTATAATAAATTTGATTGAAATTAACATGATATTATCATTTATATGTACAAGTCAAATTAATATGGATGAAAATCTCATATATCTGATTCAGTCCTCATTCATCTGATTGACAAATTCATCAGCACACTCTAAATCAATAAATACTGGAAGTAAATCAGTGCCTTCCATAAATGTTGTTATAATCAGTGACTCGGGCAAGGTAATATATATAGTAAGATCAAAATGTAAAAAAAATATTGAGCCAGACCAATGAGTCAAAAACACTAGGTTCCGAAGAATCACCCTGTAATTGTATTTTAAATAAAAATGTAAAAAATTCAAAAGAAATTTGAGTTTTGACAATAATTTTAGAAAGAAGTAGAATTTTATGGAACTTTTGTTTGTTTACTTAATTTTTGGAGTAGCGTGGTTTTTGGCTTGTGGGATTGAAATACAATTTTTATAAAGAAAAATATAAAGCCATACTAATATTATAAATGTGAAAGTGTGAAAGTTTGTGATGGGATGGGATGTATGGGTGTTTGGGTGTATAGATGTATGGATGTTTGTTACTGTTTCGTGCAAAAACTACTGCATGAATTTTAATGAAACTTTCCAAAAATATAGCTCATACATCAGAACAGCACATAAGCGACGTTTTATTCCGGAAATATGTAGGGTGCCCGTGGGATAGATTTGTTTTTGTTTTTGCTAGTATAACATAGAAATTGAAGTTTGAAGCCTTAGACTCTGATATCTTCATTTATTTTATAGTTATTCTAAGTAATAATATAATTAATAAGTAATTGTCTTATGTAAAATCTTACACATCTAGGTATATAGTATTTTCATTATTATACTTTTCTTTCTCCATTAAAAACATTCGTGTCGATAATAGTATTTATTATGTATGTATGTATTTATGTATTATATATTTAGGATATATGTATATAAGACCACCATCTACAATTTTTCACAATTACTCCTACGTCTTAAGGTTGCCTGGAAGAGAACGCTAGCGATAAGACTGCCTCCTGTGCGTCATCAATTTATGTTCGTTTCTTCTTTTTGTACATATATTTCTTTTGTGTTGTACAATGAAGAGATTCTATATATATATATATATATATATATATATATATATAATATATATATATATATATATATATATATATATATATATATATATATATATATAATTTATGTAATTTATCCATTATATTTAAACAAAATAAGTTAGCTTTTTATTTCAGTAGGTATTGTATGATGTATGTATTGTAATTCGAAATTTTGTTTTAAATGTCACAAAATAACTTTGATAAAACTTAAGCGATTAGCACTTGAAAGTTTTAGTGAAAATTTAAAAAGACAACAAAGTAGCACGACTATAACGACTTAAGTTGCTTCCAGCTTCTTTAAACGCTATATTAGGGAGAGAGAGAGAGAGAGAGACAGTAATTAAGTGTAGCGCTCGTCACGTTAGATCACACCCACGTATGTAGCAGCAAAATATTGTTTTTACATGTCTGCCCCTTAAAAAAATTCATAATTTTCGGGTTTATATGTATATACATATATTATATTCATACCTCTATTATATACATACCTGTTACCTATGTCTATTGCCTGAGTACTGTCTGTACCTTAAAAGGATGGATTTCAATTTTCAACACAGTAACAGCAAGTCCACACGTTGCAGTTTACCGAAAGGGGTTTTCGTATACGGTTTTCAGTAGTCTATACAAACATTGTATTGACATCAAATTGCAACAACTGGTACGGCAAAATAAAAACGATTAATGGCCGAATATAGCAAACCATAAACCCGAATAATAAATATTATATCGTCATATATTATATATGTTTATATATGTTACTTTTTAAGGTTCCGTACCTCAAAAGGTAAAAAAAGAACCCTTATAAGGTCACTTTCTTGTCCGTCTGTCCGTCTGTCTGTCTCTCCGTGTGTTTTGTGTGTTTCTGTGGACCTAGCAAGTTGAAATTTATACCATATACTGAGGTCTATAGTCCCTATTAGGTGTATAAATCAAGGTCCTGACTCATCACGATAAAAAAATATGGGCAAATTTTAAACTTGTAAGTACCAAAATTTACCTTAATATTTAACTTTTTTTAATTTTCGGAATTTTCCATTTACTTGTGCTGTAACCTTGCTTTTAACCAAAATTGATAATTCTAGGTCAACCGGAAGTACCCTATAGGTTTTGGGTCGAAAACCTATATGGTAGTTCCCGTTCACCTAGAATCACGAAATTTCAATTTTAAAGGTCAAGGTAAAGGAAAAATTCCAAAAAATTAAAAAAATTAATGTTAAACAGATTTCCTACAAATATGGTTTTTCGTCCTCGAAGGGCGAGTCAGACTAGCACTTGTCCAGAATTTTACGCTTTACATATTGTAAAATATATTTAGATTTTTTTGCATTTTTTGTATTAAAATGTATATTTTAACGTATTTATAAGAGTATATATGTGTACACTGTACATGTAAAGTCATTTTATTGAAGCTTATGTTGTATATAAAAAAAAAAAACATGAATAAGGCTAGTAAAAGGAGATGAGAGCAATAAATATGTTGATGAACATTATATCTTTTTAGGTCAAATAATCTGTATAATATAATAAGCGATAAGCTCCTCATAAATAGTTTTTTCAAACTAGTTACAGATAAACTGACAAGATTACTTGAAATATTACTTTCTTTAGGCCATGACAAGTGAGAAAAATCGTTTGTTCTACCAACAACTCAATACTACAAAAGAAATTGGATATTTGTCACGGCCCACGCCAAACTTTCAAAGCGGCATAAAAGATAAGAGCAAAAAAACCTTGCTTACATCGTTGCCGGAAAATCGCGAAATCAAGAAAAAACATCATTTTCTTACAAAACGTAACCACAACAAAGAAGAAAATGGGGAAAACGTAAACATTTCAACAATTCATGTACCTTGAAATTTTTGTGACGAATGTAAAAGTAAAGTAAAATAAATTGCCCCGATAACAATTGAGTTTATCTCTTTTTTTTAACACAAGCGGTATGACTCTTTAAGCTTTCATGTTCACCGATTTTATTTTTACGATGTAATAAGAAATATTCACCAACATTTTTGCTTTCATTCTGAGTTCTCTATATTATAGCTCTGTTGCAAGCGCCATGGATGGGTGTGATCAGTATACTCAAAACCGTGGTACTTGCTACAGTCATATTTGCTATAAATATTATGTATACTTAGAAAAAAGGTTTATAAATGGCGACGCGTCTACTCACTTTTGTAACTGTTAGATCTAAATATGTTTGTAACTTTCAATATTATTAGAGACCTATATTTAGGAATAATATAATGTCCATCCAACCGATTTCGGCCACGGTGGTCAGTCTCACTGGGACTACCCAGATGCGCAGCAGATATTAAAGTGTACAAGTGTACACGCAGATACAATTGCACTTATATTCCTTTTACTCCCAAAGTCTTGTAGGACGATACTTCAACACGACCGGTGAGATTAAGGCACAGGACCAACGGCTTCACATGCTCTCCAAAGCACGGGGGTGTAACAGTTCCAACTTCCCAACTACGAGCTTGTACTGAGAATATCTTAACAGAAAAACTGGGCAATTAATCTTAACCCGACCGGGGTGCTGCTTCGACTCGCGACTTCGCCTCGACTTACCCAGCTGAATGGCAATGCCGATTCTTTGTGCGAAAAATGAGTTAGCTCTCTTGTCTCCAGTAGAGGCAATAAGACCAGGTGTTATGTTTTTTTTAAAGAATTACTTAGCACTTTGACTCCATTAACTTTGACTCTCTCCCGTGACCATGGATGCTGTAAAGCATTCGAAACGTCGGGAACCAAAAATCAAAATAAATCCGCGAAATAATCCGAAAAGATAGTTTTATTTAATAATGTCAAACGTTCGCGTAAATCTAAGAAAGTATTAACTTTGACTAATTGCACCAAGAGTTTCCGCATCAAATGGTACAAAGAGTATAGCCTGAAAGGAACAACACCTGTCCCACACCTCTGGCTTGCCTTCATTGGCCGTCCAGAGTGGAGCAAAAGAGCCAAGTGCTGAAAAAGCTGGAAGTGTTCAATCTGCATGAAAACGGAAAAACTGTATGGGTTATCCGCTGATGAATGCCGACACAAGTGGCACTTTAAACAAATTTAAATCTCGCAAATTTTCCAAAGGATTGGACGTCTTCGAGCCAGTGAAATCCTAAGAGATATGAATAATAATATTACACATTTAATATTAAATTTACAGTAATATTCATATACTTCTATTTATAGTCAAATGGATGATAACGAAATCATTAGATCCGTTACATTGACGTCTATAGTGTTTCTGTTCTGATAACGTGCTCGTTGTTTAATACGATAGTATTTGAAAAGCGATTTCCGGAAATCCAAATTAAGCAGACCATCGACTATAAATGAGCGGCACAGTTTGTATTTATGTATTGTTCTCACATGTTGCTGTTAAATATTCCCAAGCATTGTAAGTTTATAATACCTATATAGCTACAAATTAAATTTATTTTTCATTTATCGTTTGTTAGGTTAATACAAAAATAGGGAATCTCACTGTCTGCTGTCAAAAGTATGTTGGTTTTTCATTGTTGTGTAAAAAAATAACAAGGCTAATATTC